TCTGTCACCAAGGCCAAATTTTCCAACTACCGGTGATTCTTCTTTGTTTCCAACTTTTGCATTCCAGTCACCAGTGATAATTTACATATCTTGATTGCAAGTTTGGTCAATTTCAGACTGCAGAAGTTGATAAAAATCTTCAATTTCCTCATCTTTGGCTTTGGTGTTTGAAGCATAAATTTGAATAATAGACGTTATTAACGGGTCTTCCTTGTAGGCGTATAAATATTATCCTATCACTGACAGCGTTGTACTTCAGGACAGATCTTGAAACATCCTTTGTGATGATGAATGCCACGCCATTCCCCTTTAAACTGTCATTCCTGGCATAGTAGATCATATGGTTGTCTGATTCAAAATGACCAGTAAATGCTAGGTACCAAAAAAAAGCAGAGAAAATGGATATAATGCATAAGTGTTCCTATCTGTGTGTATACTTGGTTATAATTTTAAATAGCGTCTAGGAAAAATTCACTTCAGGTGACAAGTGACTACAGACCTGATGTAAGGAAACAAGGAAAAGAGGCACACAAAAATCTGGGAATGAACATCCTGAGAAGTAGAAAAGCAAGTGGAAAGTCTGTAATGTATTAAAACAAAAACAAAGTGCTTTTGGGTCTCTTGTTTTTGCCCATTTCTACAGGTCTGAGTGACCAATACACATCCCATGACTTTAGTTAAGTGCCAAATCTCTGCCTAGAGCTCAGATTGCTTACCTGAGCTCTAGCGCCAGCCTAATGGCTACCTTTACTATGGAGCTATTTCCAGCTTTGCTTTTTATTGACCTTCATCTTATCTTGGAAGCTCCGGTGGCGTAGTGCCTAAGGCATTTGACTGCTAACCAGAAGGCTGGTGGTTCAATCCCACCAGCCACTCCTCAGAAGGAAGACTTCCGTGGAGATACCACCTCGGTAATCCAAGAAGGGGTAGCTTATTTTGCTGGGCCCCTCACGGTGGTCTCCTATTGCTCACAACTATTATCAATTCCCTGACAATCTCCAATATAATCTCCTGTAGTTCAAATCCACCAGCCACCCAATGGGAGAAAGGTGTGACAGTCTGCTTCCATTAAGATTACAACTCTCCCTTGATCCCACATACCCCTCTAATATACATTTCTCAGTCTACCTACATAGCCAAAATCTCCAGCAGCTGTCCACTAAAACATAAACAGGAACTTTATCACTGAATGTACCCACACCTTCATGACCTCTCATCTATTCAACCTACTGCAATATGGGTTCCCTCTCCACCACTCCACTGATAACCGTTTGTCAAGGTTACTATCAACAAACTACACACTGTTAAATCTAAAATGGACACATCTTGGCTACTTTTGACAAAAGGCCACTCTGTGCTCCTGAAACACTCTGCCCTCTGGCTTCATGCACTTATTATTCAATGAAGAAAAGAATGATTGTTCTCTCTCTCTCCTGTCATATAACACTCCAAACAGCACATTCTATAAAGATGTTTTCTGGGCTCACAGGCCTCCAGCCTACTTTGCCTCAACGAGTCATTCCAAAATTAGTCATTCCTCATGGCTTTATGTCTCTGGGTTAGGCATCCATCTTTTTGAAATGCCCTATTCATACCCCCACCCACCAATACTTCATCCTCTGGACATTAATTGGGCTGTGAAGCTTTTTAAAAAATAGCCCTGTGGCCTCTCCCCCTCCTCTTGCACCCTGTGTGCATACTCTTTTCAAACTTCTACTCTAGCATTTATTGCCCTTATTCATTTACATGGTTCCCAATTAGACTGTAAATTTCTGGCTGACAAGGACCTAATCTTACTCTAACACTCGTTTATAACAGAGTATTTACTGAAACACTGAATCAAAAAAGCAAAACCAAACTCTGCCATGGAGTCGATTTGGATCCACAGAGACTCTGTAACTGCCCATAAAGTTTCCATGGCTGTAAATTCCCAAGGAAGCAGACTGCCTCATATCCTCTTCCCGTGGAGCGGGGATTCGAACAGCCGACCTTTTCGGTAGTGACCTAATGCCTTAGCCACTGCGCCACCAGAATCATGGAATAGACAGACAATTGTACAGGCGATACTATCATTTTAGCTACTAGCAAAAAGGTTACTTTTACTAGTATCATTGATTTTAACACTTTTACAAGAAACCTTCATTTCCTACATTCTGACTAGTTAACAATACGGTTTAAGATTACACTTGTCCTGTGGCTTAACAAAAAGTCTCTTTGGAGAGTAATATTGCCTTACTAGCTTACGACTGACCCTGAAAGTAACTTGAAAAAAAAAATTTTTAGGATAAAGTTTAAGGGAAATATCCCGCACAACACCTGTACTATGAGTCTGTAACATCCCCACATTTTCACAACTAACAAACATAAACTGTCGACTTGACTACGTTGATAGTTTCCATAAAGGTTCTATTTCGACCGCCACCTCCAGCGACAGCGTCTTCAGTGAAGGCTGAAAACCATAGAGACGAGCACATTTTTCCTCCTAAGAACCAGTGAGATATAAGCAGAGCCGCGGGGCATGAGGAGGCCGCTGCGCTTGCGGGGCCGCCAAGAACACATCAAGGGGACTCACCATCAAGAAGGTGAAGCCGGTGAGCTCAGGCGCTGGGTCCGCGCAGGGCACAAACATGGCTGCAGTTTGAAGGTGGGTGATAGGGCAGACTCGGGATCGCGGCGAAGTCGACCTGCGAGCCCGTGCCGTCTCGACCCACCCAGGAAATACAGGTGGCGGGAAAGGACTGCGTGAGCGCCGAGAAGTAACGCGACGGTAACTGAGCTGGCAAAAGAGCAACGCGAACGAGTGGGGTCCTGCGTCCTCTCGGCGCCGAGTCCTGAGAGGGCCTTCCAGGTTAACTGCCTGCTCGGAAGGTGGGAAGACATTATCAGAGGGTACGGGAGTCTAGAGGGCAGCATGTTCGGAGGCTCTGGAAGGCTCATAGGTGGGTATATGGCGGCTGAAAGTGCCCATAGGCAACCTCTCTGGTACGCTCAGGCAGCACTGGAGGCATTCCGGGGCTTGAGTCTCCGCTCCCCAGCTCCGCCCCGTCTGACGCCCCGCCCCCATTTGTTTCGGAGCGCGCTGTAACTACGCAGGCGTTTTTCGTAGCCGTGGGCTGCGCTTGTGGTTCGGGAGGCGCGCAGGGGTTAGGCTCTTGGGCCGCGGAGGAACTGGGACCAGGCGCGGTTGGCAACATGTCGCTGCCCGCAGAGAAAGCTTCTGAGCTGAAGCAGCTTATCCACCAGCAGCTGAATAAGGTGAGGACGCCCTGTCTCCTCCCTGCCAGCGTCCATCCGCGCGGTTTTGTGGAAGCAGGGCTCAGAGGGATGAAGCTTGAGATTGAAGCCAGGAGACCTTTTCTCGCTAATCGGTGGTTCTGGTACTGTAGGAATGTTGTGAAAGTGAAATGCTGATGGGACCATTTCTAGAAGTCAAACTTGTGCTTGGAACAGGTTTATATTCAGGCATGAGAAATTAATTTCTCTAAGATGAAACATGGGAATGCCATTGAAATTGAGCCAGTACTTTAAATAAGAAGTATTTGCGATGTTTCGGAGCTCAAGACACTTGACTGAATGAGAAAAGCTGATTTAAGAAAACTGGACATTGAAGTATTAATAAAAACTGCCATGTATCGTGCATTTGTATGCCAAGCTTCTTAACCTCACAACATTTTGTGAGAGGGCAATATTTTTCTATTTTGTAGGTGGGGAAACAAACTCATAAAAGGTAAATAAGTTGGCGCAAGATTAGACCTCTAATAAATTGGAAGCAAATTCACACTGATTTGCGTACTGCAGGTTCTTGTGATTTTAAAAGATATATTTTGCTTGAATTTTGTTTTGTGGAAAAAGTAACAAAGGTAGTAGATAACCAGTACAGACTGTTTTCTGGAATTTGTACTATAACTTTCATGTTTTTTAAATTTTTTTTTCTGTAAAATAATAGCAGCAACAAAGCCACCTTTGATCTCATTGAATTGTGTTAACAATTTCCATTTACAATTAGTTTGAGAAGCCTAAAAAACTTCCTAGACTTAGTCTCTACCATTCTCTCCCCTCATTATTTAGAAATAAAGTGGTTTTGGTGGATGTTTTACACAGCAAGTGAGATTGTCCTTTGTCATTTTTCAAGGGACTCTAGTGGTGTAATGGTTAAAGAATTTGGCAGCTAACCAAATAAAAAAGGTTGGCGGTTTGAACTCACCAGCTGCTCTGTGGGAGAAAGATAAGGCAGTTCTGTAAAGAAACCTTGGAAACCCCATGGGGCAGTTCTGCTCTTTCCTACAGTGTCACTATGAATAATCAAAATGAGTGGATGGCAATGGGTGAATTCACAAACAAACTGGTAAATATTGGTAATATTTGGCTGCTTTGATACATGTACTATCAGGAGAAAAACAAATCATAATACAAGTTTCTGACACAGATGGATGTCCATAGTAGAATACGAGAAATCCTTGCAGAGACTATACGTGAAGAATTGGCACCTGATCAACAGCAGTTATCAACAGAAGATTTGATCAAAGCCCTTAAACGTAGAGGAATCATTGATGACGTGATGAAAGAACTTAATTTTGTTACCGTGAGTAATCATTTAGGGAAAAAAATTGAGAGTTTAAGTAACTTCTCATGCTTGACACTGTTTATAGAGTCAATGTTTGGGGCTTCTCCTTTTAATAAAACCACTTAAAACCATTTTGTCTAGTAATATCTTTGTTTCAGGTAGCTCTAAGCAAATAGTCTTTGGTATAATATTGAAATTAGATGGTATACCATACTCTTCTCTGCATAATGATAGGATTTTCTTGTTATCCTCTTAAGTTTGTAACTTCAAATGTACATATTTTAGTTAAAGTAGTTCACCATAGCAAAATTATTTTTCATGAAAATGTGCTATAATTTTTTTCAGATTGATAAGCTTATTTTTAAAATAAATGCACTTTTTTGGGGGACTGTATTTTCTATGACTAACACATTATAAATTTCTTTAAGAAAATAATTGGCTATTTAAGAGATGTCAAATCTTTACCTACAAATAGGTTGGTAGTAGGGTGATAGCCTCTCAGTGCAAATTAGTAAGTAGGCCTTCTTTTGAAAATGAGGCAATAATGAGAAGCTGTGACCTCAATACCTGAATAACCTAATGTAAAAATGGGTATGGACTTTATAATACACCAAGGAATAGCATCCTTTTTTAGTTTTTGAGGTTTAGAAACCTTATTATTAAAAATGACCTAATAACAGCTTCTGCTGTGTGAATTCCACTTCCTTATTAAAATCTGTTCATGACCACTCATAGACCAAATGTTATATGAGGTTTAGAGAGAGTTTAACTTTATTTAAGGTATTAAGGATTTGTTTTTACCACTTCTGTTGGAAACAATTTAATTTTTTAGTAATTAGACTTTTAGGAGTGGTGAATTAGTTACATTATCTTTTATGTAAACATTTATTTTTGTTATTTTACCTATGCTAGGAAAATGAAGGATGTTTGAAGGGCCCTTATCCTAGCTACTTCTGGTTCAGTGCTTAGCCCCATTATTGGCATTTTCTTGCTTAAACATAATTTTTGTTTTCTAACTTCTTTTAACTTTTTTTTCCTTTTGCATTTGTAGGAAAATGTTGATCAAGAACCCCCTACCTCTCCAAAACAACCTGCTGGTTTTATTGATAGACAGTCAACGTTGTTAAAAAAAAGTATGTGTATTTTTTTTTCCCAAAATTAGTTTAGCTGCAGATTGTAATGGATCTGCTCTAATGTTTGGTGTTTAATAGAAAATACTTCAGGTTTTTTTTTTTTTCCCCCACCAAAATGAAATATAAAATATTTGTGCTCAGTCAGCTGAAAAACTTAGATTTTGTTCATTAAGTATATCAGAAGGCTTAATGTAAGCACAGTAGAAGCAAAAATAGTAATACTTACTTCTTATATTTTAACAATGGGTTTTATTTTTTAAAAAACTATTCAGTCTAGTGCTTTTAATGGTAGTATAATTAGGTGACAGGTACACTAATTTGTATCTGGTAATTGTCTAAGTTGGTTTATGGAGGTGAAGAAATGTTGGATAAAGAGCTGAAAAACAAAGGTATACTAAATCTTGCCTCTGACTCCATCTTAGCTGAGAGAAAGTAGCCAGAATGTAAACTCAGTAAAGGATATTATGTATCTCTCTTTCCAGTATGCATATGATCCTGATATGTAGTAAATTTGTTACTTACTTTTGTTTTTTTAGTCTTTGATTTTATTCCTGTCAAGTTATGATTTCCTATTGTCTTGATCACATATCTTAAGTTATTTTGGCAGTTTCCTCATTTATATTGCTACACTTTACAGCTAATATTGATCCAACACGGAGGTATCTTTACCTTCAGGTTTTGGGTGGAAAAGCTTTCTTGGAACATCTGCAAGAACCTGAGCCTTTACCAGGACAAATTTGTTCGACTTTTACTTTATGTTTACATTTTCGAAACCAACGTTTTCGTTCTAAACCTGTTCCTTGTGCCTGTGAACCAGATTTTCATGATGGCTTTTTACTTGAAGTACACAGAGAAAGCTTAGGTAAGGGATCATCATAAATTGTCATTTAATTGAATAAATGTTTGTTGGGTTTTATTGCAGAACAACTAACAACTACAGCTATAAGGGGAGGTTTATAATGCACCAATCTTCCTAGTCTTTTATTTTTTCCCCACTACTCTTTTCCAGTCTGTTTAAACTTCTGTTCACCTTCTTGCTTTAGTCTTTGTTTACTAATTAATTTTCCCTCGAGATTATTTTTTACTTTTTTAATTGTTGGTTCTTTGGTAATAAATACTTCAATGCCTATACTGTACACGGTACCGTGGTAGGCAGATGCTGGAGGTAGAGTGGAGAATCAGACGTGATTCTTCTTGTTTATAAAGGAAGCATAGCTAGATTTGTGATGGTGTACAACTTTTAAAAATCAAACTTTCTATGTGAATCTATAGCTCTTATTTTTATAGCTTTAAAATTAAGACACTCGATTCTTGTAGTTTTACATTATATCTCCTTCTGTGAAAGTATTTTGTATATTTTGTTTGTCAACATAGAAATCTTTATAAACTTTATAAATTTGTAGAATTTTATTTTCAGAGTTTTAGATTATTAAGATGACTGATAAAACCAAACTCACTGCCATTGAGCTGATTCTGACTCATAGCAACCCCCATTGGGTTTCCGAGGTGGTAAATCTTTATGGAAGTAGATTGCCCCATTCTTCCTTTCACAGAGTGGCTGGTGGGTCTGAACCGCCAGCCTTCTGGTTAGTAGTCAGATGCCTTCGACAATGCCACCAGACCTCCTTAAGATGACTAAAGATGACAGTACTTAAAAAAAAAAAAAAAATTCCCAGTGAAAAATGTTACGTAATTAAGACAAGTAATGGAATAAATTGCTAGATTCAAGGTGCTGAGTGTTTCAGTTTGGTGTAGGTAATACAGTGATTGTTTCTAGAGACTTAGAAATAAATGTACTTTGAGAATTAACATTAATATATTTGAAGGCTTTTTATTGTGGTGACATATACTTTAGTTAAGCACTTTTTAAGAACAGCTTATTACCTCAAGTTTGGGAAAGCATTGTTGTTCAGTAAGTAACGAGATAACTCATCACTATTCTACCAGGTCTCTTAAAAATTAGTGATAGAAATAAGACTGTACTTTTATTCCTAGTCAGGGACATGCTTTTTGAGGCATTTCCAGATTATTCTATTTGGTTTTATGTAATTTTATTATTTAGTATAGATTTCAGTCCAGTTATTCTTTTCTTCAAAAAAACAAACTCACTGCCATGGAGTCGGATCTGATTCATAGTGACCCCTCCTTGGGTTTTCAAGGCGGTATCACTACAGAAGTAGATTGCTCGATCTTCCTTCCTTTTTTTTTTTTATTTAAAGTTACTCTTTTTTGTTGGCCTACCTGAATATGTAATGTGGTGTTCTTTTGTTTGGATTATATTGCTAGGTGATGGAACTAGAATGGCTGACTCAACAACAATGCTGTCAATAAGTGATCCAGTTCATATGGTGCTAATCAAAACAGATATATTTGGTGAGACCACTTTAGTAGCATCCTATTTTCTTGAATGGCGATCAGTTTTGGGCTCAGAAAATGGAGTGACCAATCTTACTGTGGAACTTATGGGTGTAGGTATGATGATTGGTATCATTGTTACCTTTTGTAGCCACAATTTGTGTGTTTGTTTATAAATACATTGTATATGTGTGTGTGTGTTTATAAAAAGGATTTTATTTATATGATTGAAGTTTTTACTCTTTCTTGGCTAATCTTAATAATGGGTTAATTTACGAGATTTTTAAAAAGCTTCAGTATCAAATAGTATATAAAGTTAAAATGGGGTTTGTCTCTGTTAAAATAACAAAATTTTCTTTAATTACTGAATTGAAAGGTTAACCTTATCAACTTTGTAATCAGCCTAGAAGGCAAGGCTTAGTATCTCATTAGAATAAATTCGTGAATTCATATTGAAAACCAACTCTCCTGGCTTTTGAAAAGCTGAAGTTTACTTTTTTTTTTTTAAATTGTGATTTGGGTGAAGATTTACAGAGCAAATTCACTTTCCATACAGCAGTTCACACATACTTTGTCTCATGTCATTGACCACACTTTACTACAATGCAACAGCTCCCCTTCCATTTCCTCCCCATAGTTACCTCTTCCTAGTGACCATCCCTCCATACTCTCCTGCACCCTGAGCTGTCGCCCTGTGCATAAGCAGCCCTTCCTTCTCCCATGATTGTTCTCCCCAGGGCGTGTGTCTACTTGAGGTAAATGTTTAACTCACATGCCTGTACATTGTTTGGCTGGAAACCACAGGTGTGGGTTCA